TGCTGACTTGTGTGTTTGGGTATAAATAAATCAGAGATGTCCAAGAGGCTAATTCCAGAGTGAGACTCATCTGATACTCATTTCTAAAATTTTTCTTTTATTGTGAACATTTTTTTGTGTGTCATTAAATACTCTTACTTCATTTTTAATGGCTGACTAGCACTCCACTATATTGAAAATATAATATAGCTATCTTAACCAAGTCCTCATTACTGCACTTACATTTGTCCTGTTGTATCTTTGGGATAAATTCCTAGAATTTCTGAGTAAAAGGTCATTTTTAGCTTTTGTTGTATACTACTGTCATGGATTGAACTGTGTCCCCCAAAAATATCTGTCAACTTGGCTGGATCATGAGTCCAAGTATTGTATAACTGTGTACCATTTTGTAATCTGATGTGATTTCTTTATGTGTTGTAAATTCAATCACTATGATCTAACAAGATGGATTAGCAGCAGTTATACCGATGAGGTATAAAAGATTGGATAGTGTCTTAAGCCAAACTCTTTTGAGATATAAAAGACAGAATTGAGCAGACACATGGGAGGCTCACACCACCAAGAAAGCAGTGCCGGGAGCAGAGCATATCCTTTGGACCTGAGGTTCCTGCGCTGAGATGCTCCCAGACAAAGAGAAGACTGATGTACCACAAGGACCTTCCTTCAGAGCCCACAGAGAAAGCATTCCCCTTGAGATGATGCCCTGAATTTGGACTTGTATGCTACTAGACTGTGAGAGAATAAATTTCTCCTTTTTAAAGCCATCCACTTGTGCTATTTCTGTTATAGCAGCACTAGATGACTAAGACAATTACCAACTGCCTTCTACATATAAGGTTATACTGATGTTATAGAAAGGTTACACAGATTCACACACAAACCTGTAAGCTATAAAGCTGTCCATTTCCCTGAATACCAGCCAACTCTAGTTTTTCTAAGTCTTACCAGTCTCACAGACAAAAATTGTTGTCTCATTCTCTCTTGCAACTTTGATTTTAAGCAAAATTGATAACTTTTTCATGTTTACTGGTCACCTGCATGGCTTCTTTTGTCCTTGTTCACGACTTCTGCCCTTTTTTTGCCCAAATTTGATTTGTCAGAGCTCTTATATATGGAAAATTTTACTGTCATAACAAATGTTGTCACTGAATTCTGCTTATGGTAT